ACTCGACGGCACTTAACAACAACAGAAAATGTTAAATTTGTATATGCTTTGTTGTGCATATTCTCAACAACAAAATAAAAGAGTTTTATTTAGAAAATTTTAAAAAGACTGGAACTGAGGCAGCATAAGGAAAATCACTATGGGAACAGAACTCCTTGATATCATCTTTCATTTCCTCAAATTGGAATAGAAAAGTGGTCATGGCCTACTTTAGAGTGGGGTTAAATCTAGTACCTTTCCCTTCACCCTGAGAATATTATAGACTTATAAAAGGTAGTGAATTATGTGCTACAGGTGAAACAGTAAATAGCCTTGGCTCATTCTTCTTATAAGCCTGGAGTGTTTGTGGAAAAGACAGACCAGAGATCCCTGAGATCATCCAACTTAAGCCCCTTATTTTACAGACTAGAAAACAGAGGTCAAGAACATTTAGTCTTACTTATCTAGTGCTGCTTAACAGAAATACCACAAATGGATTGCTTTAACAAAATTTATTCTCTCACAGTTTAGGAGGCTAGAAGTTCAAATTTAGGGTGCCAACTCCAGTGGAAGGTTTTTTCTTTGTTGGTTCTGGGGAAAGGTCCTTGTCTCCTTTCAACATATGTGAGCCTAGCATCCCTTAGAGATCTACATGTACCTTGGCATCCATATTCCCTTGGATCTAGATACTTCTCAGTGCAGGGACCTTGGGTCCAAAGCATGCGCTCTGCTCCTGGCTCTTCTTTCTTGGTGGTAATGAGGTCCCCTCTCTCTGCTCACTTCTCTCTCCTTTTATCTCTTGTAATATAAAAGATGATATGGGCCATCCCTGGGAAACTCCCATTACATTGTTAGATCAGGGGTATGACCTGAGTAAGCATGTTACATCCCACACTAATCCCCTTACAACTGATTGGTTAATCACATCAGATGACAACATAAGGCATGATTTCATCATTACATAACCACTGAGAATCATGGCTTACCCAAAGTGACATATATTTTTTGGGGGCATAATTTAATTAATGACAGTGATTTATTCATGGTTACAGAGCACTTTGAGACACAAGATGAGAAACAGTGTAACTTTGGGTATTACCAGGGCTCTTTCTAGTGTACTATGTATGATGTTTCCTGTTCTTAGGAGCTCTCAGTCCTAATACAGAGGACAGGCAAGTAAATCCTTTATTATGGCATCTTTGAGGAGTGTTATAATGTGTGTATGTGGGATGTTGTGGTATCTACTTTGATTTCCCTAAAACACTTAGGAATTATAGACCAGATGATTCTGATATCACCTCAATTGTCTATAGAAACATATTAGTATGCTTTGAGAGCTGACGCATCACAGCTATTTAACTTCTCATTTAACTCCAAATCCTTATTATATTTTATATTTTTGGTAGGCAACAGAAAGTGCAACTTGTTACTCATTTACCAATAAAAAGGAGAAGAACATACTTTTCCCTTGATGTCCTAGAAAATTTCCTTAGACTTTAAATGTAGTGCTGACAGGGGATACTATTCCTATGGATATTCAGATATATAGTCTTTATAATCAGGTGGCTGAAAGATAATATGCATAACTTTTATTGAATCTTGATTACCTGGCAATGGTATGATGTCAGTATCAAAGATGCAGTGGCCATGTTGTTTGCTGACTTACAATCCTTGCCTTAGAATTAAATAAAGTAAAACCAAACCCATGAGGATATTTTAAAGAAAACTCTAGGCAATGATAAGGAGTACCTGGGTAGGGCAGATGGTTAAGAGCTTGACTACTAGCTGAAAGGTTGGCAGTTCGAACTCACGCAGAAGTGCCTTGGAAGACAAGCCTGGTCACCTACTTCCAAACGGTCACAGCCACGGAAACCCTATGAAGCAGTCCTACTCTGCATGTACGAGTCGTCATGAATAAACAACAGCATCATGCAATTATAAGAAATGCTAACAATCTTACTCTTAACACACTGATAATGTTGATTGAAGATTCTATAAACCATTCTTAAAGGCAATACTACGGAAAAGGGAAAACTTGGGGGGAAAAAAAAAACTTACAAAAGAGCCTAAGCCAGGCATTCAATATTCACTGTAAATTCACTATAGCAAGAATGTCTCATCTGGAGGTATTTATTTTTCAAACATTCAAGCACAGAGACTTGGTTTAAGGGTCAGATCCATCATTTAACGCCTGAGCGATCTGAAGCAAAGATGTTTGCCCTCTGAACCTCTATTTCTGTTTGAAATGGACAAAAGATTTAAAATTTCCATCAAAAAACACTTAACCAGTCCCTTATTCAGAAAACAATTCACTAAATGCGCATTCACAATGAGAATATTTTCCTTGAGTAATTACAATTAGGATTCAAAGAATCATATTTACAGTTTTATTTTCAAGTTTATCTCATATGCAGTAGAAACTCAAAATTAATCAATTTAGTGCCATGATCCAAATGCTTAAATTTAAGATATGTAAACTGCTTAAACAATATACTGCCGAAGTAGAATCCACAGCAGGGAGCTGTAATTAATACATGCTATTTTAGAATGCATGAAATTATGTATGTGATAGAAGGAGCCTTTATGGTGCAATGGTTGAGTGCTTTGCTGCTAATTGAAAGTTCAGCACTCACCAGGTGCTTTTTGGGACAAAGATATGGCAGTCTGCGTCTATAAAGATTTACAGCCTTGGAAACTGAATGGAGCAGTTCTACGTTGTCTTACAGGATAGCTATGAGTCAGGATTCAACTTGACAGCAATGGCTTTGGTTTGTTGGTGATATATATATATCACCTGACTGCTAACCAGAAGGCTGGGGGTTCAAACTCACCAGCCACTCCTCAGAAGGAAGATTGGGCAATTACTTTCATAGTGATACTGCCTTGGAAACCCAAGGAGGGGTTGCTATGAGTCAGGTCCTACTTGATGGCACATAACAACAACAACAAATGTGTATTTTATATAAATATAAATATAAATATATATATATATTTATATATTTAGGAACTCTGGTGGTATAGTACATAAGGCATTTGACTGCTAACCAAAGTCTGGTGGTTCAAACCCACCAGGCACTCCTTGGAAGGAAGACTGTGGAATCTACTTCTGCAGAGACATACTGCCTCAGAAACCCAAGAAGGGATCACTGTAAGGCGAATCAACTCGATGGCAGTGTTTAGTTTTTGGTTTATATACATATTTTATATATATCATATATACATATATATGTACACACATATATATATGCATACACACACATATATACATATATGTATGTATATATGATATAAATGAAAATATATCAAACATATATAACCACTCCTCACTTACTGACATGGTTAGGTTCTAAAGACCAGGTTGTTATGTGAGAACTGGCATTGTGTGAAAATGGAGGATGACTACATCAGATTGCAAAATGGAGGATGAACACATCATTGCATAACTGTCAAAGTATGTATCATTATATAACTACCAAATTACATCATTATGTAACTGCCAAACCACTGAGAATCACGGCCCAACGAACTTGACACATAACCTTAAGCATCACAGCCAGCATTACTTTTGCCTAGCATCTCGGCATTTGTTATTGCCAGACGTTTGTTATTAATGTGCAAGATAGTCAGATAGTAGATTTTTTACCACTGTTGTAAATGTAAAATGTCACATAAAAAGACAGTCAATAAGGGCACAGGGAGGAGAAGGGAGGAGAATTTTTTATGGTTGGGGATGGTAAAGAAAAAAAGAAAAAAAAAAAGTCAGTAAGTGAGTACTGGGTGTGTTATTAAACAATTATCTTTGTAGTCATCCCAATATAGGATCAAATAGAGAACAAAAGCCAACGTGGAGATAGGTGATTGAATTTTAACCATGCTTTTGTAGAGAGTATATATTGGGGTTATACAATCTCATTATAATGATGACAAAAAGAAATATGTAAAAATTAGAGTAATTAGTTACCTGCTGAGAGGAGTGCTAAAGCTTACTACTACTTAACCACATGGCATTATTCAGACAAACATAACATGAGTTACCATGATCCTCTGCAACATAAATTTGAGTTAGACATAAAAGGCACCTAAAAAGAATTTAAATTTGGATTATATTCTGGAGCTTGTAAAACAAATACTGCTTCAGACTATAACAAAAAGAAAAATATCTCAAAGCACCCTTTCAGCATTGCTTTTCTTCTATTGATCTGTTATGAATTATATAAGTATTTACCAGTAGTGATATAAGCTAATTGTTCCTCAAGTAGTCTCTGATACTGTTTACAGTGAAGAGTTCTAATATGAAAAGGAACACTCCCACTAAAGCCACTTGAAATCTCCACTCACCTCTGCAGGGAGCATCTGCATGGTATTGTATAAAGACCGACAGATTTTCAAAGCTTCATTTCCCAATCTTTCCTTGTTCTCCACTGTACATCTGGTTAACATCACTGTTACTAGTCTCATCCATGGATTACTGCTTAGGCTGGTTCTAATGGAGAAAAATGTAAGGTATTGGTAATGTCAAAGCTATCATGATTGTGATAAGAAATTTAAATAAGAAAGAAATCTTATTTTTTGAGTAAAATGGTTATGGCAAATTACAGTCAGAATCTAGCTGGTGTATTCCTTGAAGGCTATCTTGTAGAAAAGATAACATCTTAAGGAGAAAAAGCAGGTTATCATGGTATCAACAAGTGCCCCAGTAGCTAGTGGAAATTCAGGTGGAAATTCTAAGAGACAAACATTGAAACCAGAGACTGGGGTTCAACTCTGGTTCCTTGATTTACTACTTGGAGAATTCAGGTAAGTGGTGACCTAAACATTCTCAGCCTTGCTGTATGGTTCTGTGGAAGACACCCAACCTTTCTGGTCTTCAATATTCTTACTAGTTAAAAGGAGATTTAATGTTTTCCTTGCAGGGTTGCTTTATCTAATGAATTATGTATATAATTATGAACTATCACTCTCAGTAGTAGGCATATCTGACTACTTATTACATAAATATTATCTCTTGTTGATCATAACATTGTTAGTGTAACAATGGGGCCAGGGCCAGGGCAATACTAAATTTCAAAAAGGGTAGTGTATGTCAGAGGTCAGCTTGGGATACAGCACAGAGAACTCAGAGACAAGCTATAGATCATATTTCCTGCTTCATATTGTTTTCCCATTCTCTGAAACATAAAAGTATAGAAGAATGCCTTTTCTTTCCCTTCTCTGACTGCCACTATCTCATGTTTCATTAAAACATTATGATTTACATTTCAAAAGATATGTTAAATAAATTCATTCCATGGTCTCATGAACAGAATAATGATTTCATTTATAATTTTTTTTTTAATTTACTATTTATTAAGAATCTGTTGTGTCATTAGCATAGCACTGGATTGTAGATAGTGAACAACTAAGGGTGGTCCTTCTCTTGAAAGAATTTCATTCCTTGCTCCACAACTAAGGGTGGTCCTTCTCTTGAAAGAATTTCATTCCTTGCTCCCTAACAAAAATTTCAAGTGCCACAATGATAACAAGACTCACACTACTGAGATTTTGGCAATGATTTTGTTATCTCAGTTCATACTAACAATCTGTGATGGTAAAGAATACTGCTTTACTTCATGGTACAAACAAAGCTTTATGAGAATGTCTAGTTGGCTGGGGAGTCTTCTTATTCTCAAGGACTAGTCCTTTGCTTTCCTCTTTCAAAGTCTGAATTCAGCTTTTCTGGGTTTGCCTGTAATAGGCTGTCTGTCTCATTGTAAGAGGCACTGACCTGCAAGCAGAACATGCACCAGTGGGCAATGTGGCTTTGAAAATGAACTATAAAAAAGTACTTCTCATCAGCTAATAGTGATATACTAGAATGAAAATGAAGAAATCTCTTATAACTACAAATCTATTAGCCTTTCCATGCCTTCTCCTAGCAAGGGACTGAAAATGAAAAACTATACTCTCTTAAGTCTCAAATTTGATACTAGTAAATTAGTAGTCATATCAAACACATTCCTTAGCTTTTAATCTTTTTGTATTTACTGACAACATTCAATCATTTCCACACTATCAGTTTTTTCTCCTTTTTGTTCCTTCTTTCCTCTTGTCTTTTTCATTATCTCTTTCTCTCTCATTATTTTAGAAATGCTGAAGTTGTACATTGGATTGTTTGAAAAGTACTTTTGAGAACATTCTAAAGGATCCCATCATACATCCTCCTATGGTGAGCATCAATTTGAGCCAGAGAGCAGCAGGATACGACAACTTTATTTATCCTCTGAGTACTCATTACCAAAAAAACACATCAAACCCACTCCCATCAAGTTGATTCCAACTCATAGCATACCTATAGAACAGAGCAGAACTAACTCATAGTTTCCAAGCCTGTAAATGTTTAAGGAAGTACACTGCCACATCTTTCTCCCAAGGAATGGCTGGTGGGTTCAAACCACTGACCTTTTGGTTAGCAGTTGAATGCTTTAACCACCATGCCACCAGAGTTCCTTGAGTACTCCTTAGAAGATAAATTAATGATAAGTGGGGTTGAGTAAATCAGTAATTGCTTTGTTCATATTCTAATGATTTATTATTTTTATGAAACATAGGCCAGCAATTTAAAAATATCATTTCACATATGACTACAAAAAAATAAGAAATACTTCTAAGAATTAAGGATTTTTTTTACATGTTTAAGTGAAGCTGATTTGCTTCTTGTGGGTGTATTTTACCGTAAAAAAGTGAGTAGTTTCAAATAATAAAAGTTTCACATTATCATCACCTAGGAAATTCCTTAGGAAGAGATCTCAAGGTACCCCCTACAGATGCTTGGGATCAGAAAGTCCAGTATGGGATTCAGGAGTCTACTTTTAACATGTAGCCCCAGCTCCTGAGGTAGCTACTCCAAGGCAGCTGGAACTAAAGAGGGTCACAAGTAAAACTTAAGGTTTCACGATGTGAGGACCTGTACTGTACAGTTTCAAACAGTAAAAGTAATAATCTATTCTTAAAAATACATCAGCATACTATTGCTGTCAAAAATAATGGAGACCTAAGTGCTCCCCTACACATTTTACACTTGGTTAAAAAATAAAGCTAAACAAAACACTATTCTTGGTTTGCTTCAGAAATTCCTAATTGTCTAGTCCAAGAGTTCAGGTAAAGAGTCTTTTTAGATGTTAAGTGCTAAACTGCTCACAGAATAACTTGTTTTCAGGCAAGCATCCTGTTTAACTTCAGAAGTGTGGAGAAGCAAGCACATTGGCCCAAGGGAGAGCCTGCTTTCTGAGTGTGGGAAAAATAAGATCAGTCCTGGAGCAAGTGGGCATTTGGAATAGAGGCATGGAACTTATAATTTTTTTTTGCAAGAAGCAGCAGCAGTTCATGATAGCCAGCATATGTGTTTGGAGGAAATCTGGCCATTTCTTGCAAAGGACAATGGTAAGTTATGTGGCTGACAGCACAAGGCGCTGTATGAAAACCCCATGTAGCTATGAGTGGCAGCTGTAAGTGCAGCATGACACAGAGGAAACAACATGGGCTATGAAGGTAGCCAGAAATTGGCTAGAATTGTTTCCTTTACTTATCAGCTGTGGGATGCCTGAAGTTATTTAACTTTTGCACCTTAATTCCTTTATCTATAACATTAGGATTACATCACCTCTTGTAGGTTTATCGTAAGAATTACTGATAATATATGTAAATTACACAAGGCATGGTATATTTTCAATAAATGAGAATGATTCATTTACTCCATACAAATTCTCAGGTTAGTATTGTGAGCTGTGTTAAAGGGCCATCCAAATTTTTTTCTGTCAAAAATACTGGAACAACATAGTTTTGTTGATATTATAAATAGGATGTTATTATTAAGCATTGAATGAAACTTTTGAATAAAATATTTTGGGTTCAGGAGCAAGGAGAAATGAAAAGACATCACAGTATTTTAAAAAACAATTTAATTTTCTCTAAAGGCAAATACTGACTACATTATTCTTATTTCATGGCTCTTTTGAAGGTACTGAATTTTTAGAACAAGAGCCCAGAGAGATTTTGAGAAAGCTAATTAGTCTACCTTCATGTTAAAACTTACACATATTCACTCTTCACAGGTGGCCAAGCTTGCAAGAGTAAAACCAAGTGCTGAAAGTCAACTTCATGGTAACTGGATTCTAGTAGCTCCAGAAAGAGAGAGTAGCGGTTCTCTTCATTTTCAATGTCAGTGACGTCCACCTGTAAGTGGAAATGCACATCTGAAACTGGTGGTAAAACCTACTGAATTGGTTTACATAGACTTCAAATTTGATTATTTTGATTAAACACTACTATTTGAGAAATTTTTATGTGCAGAGGGAAGATAAAATCTAAATAAACACAAACAAGAAACTTCAAAAGGTCTCTGCTCTATGTCATTTCAAATTATTTATGTTCAGAACATCAGGCTGAACAACAAAATCACAGGGCAGTTTTAACATTCTTTTACTAAAAAATTTAAACAAGCAGATTTCCAAAGAACTGGGGTTTACTGGCATTCGATGTTTGTTATGTTAAAATACTGAATGGACCAAAAACAGCATCACGATAAATGGAGAAAAGATTGAAGTTGTCAAAGATTTCATATTACTTGGTTCTATAATCAACAGCAATGGAAGCAGCAGTCAAGACATCACACAACATATAGCACTGGGAAAATGTGCTGCAAAAGACTTCTTTCAAGTGCTGAAGAGCAAAGATGTCTATTTGAAAACTAAGGTGGCCTAACCCAAATGATGGTATTTTCAATCTCCTCATATGCATATGAAAGCTGGACAATGTATAAGGGTGACCACACAAGAGTTGATGCCTTTGAACTGTGGTGTTTGTTAACAATACTAAAAATACCATGAAGTGCCAGAAGAACGAACAAATCTGCTCTGGAAGAAGTGTAGCCAGAATAATCCTTGGAAGCAAGAATGGCCAGACTTTGTCTCACCTACTTTGGTCATGTTGTCAGAAGGGACCGTTGCCAGGAGAAGAATATCATGCTTGGTAAAGTGGAAGGTCAGCAACAAAGAGGAAGGCCCTCAATGAGATGGACTGACACAGGGGCTGCAACAATGGGCTCAGGTATAGGAAGGACTGTGAGGCTGGTGCAGGACTGGGCAGTGTTCCGTTCTGCTGTACACAGGGTCGCTATGGGTTGGAGCTGACTCAACAGTGCCTAACAACAACAATTTGAAATTTGAATATTTCACTATAAGCTACATTAGCTGAATGTTTTAAATTTTCGAGTGTATTTTTAATTTTATTTTTTGTATTATGATTACTTTGCCTTCATGTTGTCTAGAAAATTTCTCTAATTTTAAATTAAAGATTTTATCAGTTTTCGGCTATACATCAAAATAAAGTAAAACATCTTTTATTCACATCTACACAACAAATGTGAAAGAAGTTTCTACCAACTATTTTTGTTGTTGTTATGTGCTGTGGAGTTGGACCTAACTCAACCCTCCTTGAGTTTCCAAGGCAGTATCACTATGGAAGTAGATTGCTGAACCTTCCTTCTGATCTACCAAGTATAGAGCATTCATTTTTTTCTCTCACAGAGTAACTGAATGATGTTACTTTCACAATGTGGCAGTCCTCAAACAAATCACATTTTCAATGCCTCTGTGGATGAAAATGAATGTTATTATAAGTTAAAAAGTAGTTTTACATATAAAAGCAAGCCAAACACTGGTTCTTCAGTGTCATAACCTTTCTTTATACAGATTCTCTGTATTTGGGTACACAGGCATTCATAAGACTCAGATGATACCTTGAAAGGATAATGAAAATAGGTGGTTACCTAAATATTTGCTAAATTGCTTACATTAATGCATGTTTCCAAAACATTTAATTTAATAGACACTCTGTCTCTGATCCCAAGGAGTAATTTGAAAAAGTTACACCGTGAATTACACAATATTTGATACGTGCTATGAAAGTATTGGTAATCAACTCTGGGAAGCCATGTTCATGAAATGACCAATCAGATTTTCTAAAACCTGCCTTAGAGCTCCATGAAACAATAATCAAAATGCGTTTTATAGTTTTTGAAATAGTTTCTAATACAGTAAATTACTTGGTCCCCACAATAATTCTGCACAGAGGACAGTACAGGCAGTGTTAACTATACTTTATACATGAGGAAACAGGCTCAGTTGTCCAAGACAACCGGGCCAGTGAGTAGCAGAGCAATAATATAATTAGAATGAATGAAATCAGTGTGTCCTGCACTCAGAGAACTCAAATAAGCAAGAATAAGCTTTATACTATTAAAGTGAATGTTTTTAAGATTTATAGCCCTGGAAACCCAATAGGGGTCACTATTAGTTGGAAGTGACTCAATGGCAGTGAGTTTAGTTTTTCCCCACTACTGAAAATAATGCCTGATAAAAGTAGAGGTACAATAAGTATTTACTGAATTAATGAATGAACTAATGACTGGATATAAAAATGAATTAATGAAGATAATTTGTTGGTTATAAAAGATTTAGCATAGACTGATATTAAAATTTTCACTGGTTTTGTTAATGGAGATAGATGTAAGATTTAAAAAGAAAATGGCACCAAGAGGGAAAATACTAAAAAAGACCCAGAGATAGCAATGTGGACAGAAATGGTCAATATGTCTAAACCAATCATGCCTTGTTACTTCTGCAAAGTCATTTACTCTATATACATTCTCAAGTTAGTATTTTGAGCTGTGTTAAAAGGCAATCCAATTTTTTTTTCTGTCAAAAATACTGGAACAACAATGTTTTGTTGATATTATAGATGTAAGATATTACAGATTTCTTTTGATACTATAGATTTGGTATTATAGATTTCTTTTAAAATCTTACATCTAATTTGGATACTTGAGAAAGGAAGACCTTAGGTATCTTGCATCCTAAGACAGTATCTTCAACCTTATTCAAGTAACACTTGAAAATGTGGTATTATATGATGAACATTTTTCTACATTCTATTTACTGTGGACATGTTGTTGTGTTGTTGCTGTTATGTGCCGTCGAGTCAGACCTGACTCATAGCAACCCCTCCTTGGGTTTCCGAGGCAGTATCACTGCGGAAGTAGATTGCCCCATCTTCCTTCCGAGGAGTGGCTGGTGGGTTTGAAC